CCCACAGAAATCCAAACCTCTTAGCAAGACAGGGTATTCACAGGCTTGGGGATGGGTGGGATCACTGTTGGCATGTGTTTTGTTAATCCCCAAGAGCATTATTGTGGGTGGCATCATCACTTAGGCCTGGGAAAGGCGCTCACCTGCCCACTGGACTCGCCTGGGTAGTTCGGGGGAAAGCAACGTGGTAATGCTTCGTGGACCAGCACTTTGGGCTTTGAGTTCCTGAACCAGAGACAGACTAGATCACAAGCAGATCCAGCCTCAGCTTACAGTTTCCCAGGGAGACTGCAGAGCAACTGAGGCTTAGCAAGCAGAAAGGATGTGAAAACCACAGCGTAGGGCCACATTCTATAAGATGCAGCAGGAGCAAGATGAGCCATCTGGTTTGCATGAGTGCAGGGGTTTGCAGCATAGTTTTGACCCTTCTGAAGCTTGCAGCATCTGTTGGCTCAGTGGGCGAGAGGTCAACCACTGGGAGCAGCCAGCGGTGCTCTGGGAACCAGTGCTAAGGCCTGAATGGGTTGCTGCTGAACAGCTCTCTCTGGCTCTTCATCCCACTCAAGGACATTTCACCTCTTTTCAGCCACCAAGGTCAGTGTGGTCCTAGGAGGGGGCAGGTCAACCCCCACCAAGGGGGCCTTGAATTGGCTTGGTGTATGGGGGCCACAAGCCAGAGACATCCCAGAAATCAACTCTGTAGTCCCATCATTACAGTTACCACATGTTTCCAATCTTTAGCAGTTGCCCTGTTGGCAAATATTCTCTTGTCATGTCCATATACATTGAAACCTCCCAGGAATTTCAATATTTCAGCATCTGAGTGATATTTTCCAGACTTCCTCTGGCACCCACTATAAACATATGACAGACCACATCCCTGTTTTCTCCTGTGAAACATATGGTCATTGTACCAAGAGATTGAGCTCTGAATCTAAAACCCAGAATCATCAAATAGAAGCCAATGGAAAAGTGAACGGAAGGGGCTGTGATATCCCAACCAGGACGTTGGAGCCATGGGTACCCTGGGGAAGATACTCCAATTTGTGTCTCTCCTTGGAAAGTCACCAAGATTTAATGGAAGAGGGGAGGGCTCCACCTTAGCAACCTGATCATGTCGCAAAAGCCCCAACTATGAATAGCATCATTGGCTTACGTTTCTATCCTCTGAATTCCACTGACGGATGACCTAGGGGACCAAGTCTTTGACACATGGGTCTTTAGAGGACACTCCATGTCTAATAAGAGGACACTCCATGTCCAAGTTAATAGACTAACCACAGCACTCCCTGTCCCTCATGTGGCTGAAGGACCACATGCACAGTGAGCTGAAGCTGGCCATGGCACAGGCACTAAGTGAGAGGATCTTGGTGGGCGTGTCAGTTCCAGTCACCCCACAAGCCTGACTCTGGGAGTTAGTTCCACCCAATACCTTGCAGCTTGGAGCACACAGTATCCTTCTATCCCAGCTCACTCAACTCATCCACCTTATATAAGGCCCCTGATCTGGGCCTCATGGTGTGCCCATGGTTCATTGCCCAGTGACCACAAGGCAGGTCTGGAAGAAACCAGGACTGACCCTTCAGCCCCAGCCAACTCTGTTCTCACTTGGTGCTGCTGACTTCACGGGAACTTGGCAGTATGGACCCTTGTGGGGGCTTCTCTGAGTCCAACCCAGCTTCAGATTTCTCACCTTCTTCTCTGTGATGGCTATGTTTTCTTGCACACCCTACGCCCCACCCCCACCTGTTTTGGGCAGTCTGTGGGAACTTGTACTTGGTGATGACTTAGTCTAGGGAGAAGGGCTGCCTTGCCCAAAACAAAGGCTGCCTGACACATTGCATTAGCTATAGAGAGGGGCTGTTCAAAGTGATCTTGTGGCATGTTGGGGATGGTGTGGTTTCCTGGGACCTCCTTGGCTCCATTCTGTAGAACATTCTGAGGTTTTCCTCTGCCCGTGTAGCATGTAACAGATGCATGGCCAGTTCCAAATTCCCCCTTGTCCCATGGAGCACAGATGTAGATTTGGCAGCTCTGTTGTCTCCTTCAGGGGCCTACAAGATCTTTGCCAGTAACAGCAACTGTAAGGAAGATTCTTAAGCTTGCTTTGCCACCAAAAACAAAATGAGGTGTGGTACCTATTGTAGCAATATTTCTTGGGAGCAGTATTGATGGAGGATGCTGTTTCCCCTGGATGTTCCCATAGGAGTGTTCCTGCATTGTTACCCACTTGTCACTGTGTCACAGTGACTCCCCATTCTTATCCCATATGTCCATGATAGTTTCTGATTAGGAAATCAATGACCCTGACCTCTTAGGAACTGGATTTTGGCTCTGGAAATGGACCTTGACAGTTGTCTAATCTTGTACTTCCCAAATGCAAGTGGATGGGCTGTTTGCCACTGCATCATTTGGGAGACTCAAGAAAATATAGCTGATCTGTTCCTGCCACTAAGATTCTGACTCCAAAGGGCCAGCTTAGTCCAGGAATCTGCATTTGAACAGTCCTAATGATGTGGATATGTACCCCAACTCAGGACCCACTGGCTATTCCAGTCAGTGTCTTTAATAATTAAGGGTGCTTAAGTCTCTGAAGGAGTTAAGTAGCCTCCTATGAGTAGCAGGGCAGGCCTGATGGTAGAGGGTGTTCAAAAATACCCCAGAAGGGCTGACATGAGACAAAGTGTGTAAAGCTGCCACCTGTGCTGCTGGTATCCCATATGAGCACTAGTTCTAGTCCTGGCTGCTCCACTTCCCATCCAGCTCCTTGCTAATGTGCCCAGGAAAACAGCAGGGGATGGTCCATAAGCTTGGGCCTTTGTACCCATGTGGGAGACCCGGAAAGAAGCTCTTGGCTCCAGCCTGGCTCACTGTAGGCTGTCATAGCCATTTGAAGTGCAAACCCACAGATGGAAGATCTCTGTCTCTCCTTCTCTTTCTCTGTAATTCTGAGCTATAAAATAGATAAACAAAGACACACCAGTTACCTAACTCTGATGCTAACTGTGTGTGTTACCCTGGGACTGTGACCCCCTCAGCCAAACCCCCACCTTTGCTGCAAGAAGTCTACTGCTCTTCAGTTGCCGCAGTGTCTTTCTGAGTGCCCAGAAGTGCCTATGGAGAACTCATGCAAATTCTTTGTAATGCCAAAAAATGAACTTTTGGTCATCCTGCAAGCATTTGCAGTCTGTTTCTACCAGCCAGGTTCTACACCAAATCGTGACTTAGAGATGTGAAGACACCAGTGATCCAGCAATTAGAGAAGGAGTAAACCAGGGTATATGGTACCTAGCCCTATTCTCAAAGCTTTATAGGCATCATTTCATTACTCCTGCAGGACGGCCTGATGAAGCAGGTACTGTCCCCATGTCATAGCTGAGGAAATAGAGAGAATGGGGAGCCTCCCTTGTGCCAGGTGCCAGATTGTTCTGTATCTATATTCCTGTATTTCATCGATTCTGAGATACCTTTTAGCATGTAATGGATCAGGAAGCACCCAGCAATATATATAGTTTGTCTCTATGGCTTCAGGCATTGTCACACTGACAGTCTAGCAGGAAAATCCTCGTGAATGACAAATTCAGAGCATAAACACTCCTCAGAGAATCTCCCACTGCTGAGCCATGCAGCGAGGCCTGGCCTGTCCTTGGGTTTCTCTGTTTACCTCCTACACCCTCCTTCCTAGCAGGTGTGGCTGCCGGTCACCAGGTCTTGAACAGTGGGGAGAAATCCATGCTTCACATTCTCTGATATACACCCAAGGGAGCTGAAGCCCTTTGTGTACGTACAAGTCTGTACATGCTCATGTTTGCAGTAGCTTCTCTCATGATTGTCCAAACATGGAAGCAATTAAGATGTCTTCAGCAGGCAAAGGGATAAACAAATTGGGCCACATCCAAACGATAGAATATTAGCTAGCACTAAAAGGAAATGCTCTCTCGAGCCACAAAAAGACATGGAATACATGCATATCATGAAATACAAGAAGCCAGTCTGGCTTCCAGAAAAGACCAAACTCTGAAGATAGGGGAAAAGCTGCAGCTGCTGGTGTGAGGGGTGATGACTAAGTGGAGCCCAGGGGACCCAAGGGTGGAGGCTGTGAAGGGCAGGCAGTGAAACTACTGTGACTATGGGGATGGTTCATTCATGTTGTTGGACATTTATACACTTCCAGAGAGAACTCTAATGCAAACTGTGAACTCTGGGAGAACATGGCTGATTACGTAGATTCACCCTCCAGTGGAGGATGCTGACAGTAGAGAAGGTGGTACAGATGTCGTGAGATGAATGCATTCATCTGGATACTTCCCAATTAACTTTATGACAAAAACAATGCTAAAAAGTTTTTTTTTCAAGAGAGGGAGACTGGATGGAAATTTGGCCAAACACTTAAAATGTTTGTTAAGGTACCTATATCCCACACGGAAGTGCTTGGGTTTGGTACCTGGCTTTACCTCTGGGTCCAGCCTCCTGCCAATGCAAACCCTGGGAGGCAGCAAAGATGGCTCAAGCAATTGGCTCCCTGCCATCCACATGGGAGGTCTAGATTGAGTTCCTAGCTCTCGGCTTTGGCTCAGTCCAGCCCTACAGGTATTTGGGAGTGAATCAGTGGATAGGAGCTCTCTCGCTCTCTCTCTCTCTCTCTATATATATATATAGATAGATAGATAGATAGATAGATAGATAGATATTTGCCTCTCAAATATATATTTATATATTTATAAAATTTATATATTTATAATATAATGGATTTATAATATATATTTATAAATATATAAATATTTATTTATATATATATTTGCCTCTCAAATAAATAAATGAAGTCTTAAGTATATAGAAAGAGGGATGGGGAGACGGCTGACCCAGGGTAAGAGAAAGTTGCTATGACTTCTGGGACCTCACCACTCTCTTCCCTCCTGCCCAGGGTACCAGGGAATCAGAGAAGGTGCTCCGTGGTGGGGTGTGTCCGCAGCTGTCCCTAACAGTGACTGTCTTTGCAGGTGTCGTGGAGGCCTCGATGGTTCGCCTGGTGAACGGCTCAGGCCCCTATGAAGGCCGTGTGGAAGTGTACCATGAGCGGCGCTGGGGCACCGTGTGTGATGACGGCTGGGACAGGAAGGACGGCGATGTGGTGTGCCGCATGCTGGGTTTCCGCGGTGTGGAGGAAGTGTACCGCACAGCTCGCTTCGGGCAAGGTAATGCTTCCAGAGACAAGACACAGGGAGATGGTTCCCAATCCTAGAAATGGTATCCTCTCCAAAACCCAGGTCCTCTTGACTGTCCCCAGGCCACCCCCTGGACACTTACGGGGAGTTGTTGTTTAGAGGTCTCACTGTTACCCAGATATGTGTCTGGAGTGTCTTCAGACAATTCTGATCGTGAGAGCATTCTTCCTTTTGCTTCACCTTATTCTGTTTTCTGTCAATTTCCCCTATTGGCTCTCATTGCATTCCTGAGTTCTGGGTACGTAACCAGTCTCTCCCGCACTGGGCAGCTCTTAATGCACTCTGTTAACTCAGTCATGTTGTTCTTCTTGCTTAATGTTTATTCCAAAGCACTCACTGCCTGCCAGCCAGGCTGTTATTAAATGTGTCACAAATAGTCACGCACTCAGTCCTTATGACCCTCTGAAGGAGATATGGCTAACACCCCTTCATTTCCAAATGAGAGACAGAGAGGGCAAGCAACTTGCCCAGTATCTACCAGCTGGCAGACAGCAGAGCTGGATCCAGACCCAAGAAGGTCTGGCAAAACTCAAACAATGGCTTGGGAGGCAATGCCCTCAGCCACTCTGCTGGCTGCCTGTGCCTCTCAGAGTCACTTTGTCCCTAGTTAAGATCCCCAGGTAGTCCATTGTGTGTTCATATCACGTTTCCAAAGCCTTTCCCTTGAATTGCTCTCCTGACACTGTTGAGCACATCTGCAGATGGGGGAACATTGCCCAGGAAAGTGGCCAACTGGAACCACTCATCCAGTCCCCACTATGTGGAGGCCAGCTCTCTCCTGGTTCCCGTCTCTTCTCACTCCCTGGTGTATCTCTCAGGTTGGTTCTCAGGGTTCTTGCACAAGTGCTACCCCAACCAGTGTTGCATACTGGCAGTTAAAATGTGCACATCCTGCATCCTACTGTTAGTTCTGGAGGCCAGGATGTTTAAGATCAAGGCCTTGGTGGATTTCGTGTTACCCAAAGGCATTCTTCAGGTTCTGAGACACACACCATCTTTTGACTGTGTTCTGACATTAGAAACGGGGCAGGGGTGCTCTGGAGTCTTTCCCATAAGGGCACTAAGCACATCCTTGAGGGCTCTACCCCCAGGACATAATGACCTCCCAAGATGCCACCTATGTGTTTTGGGATGACAGGTAGTCTTGGGCCAAAGTGATGCAAAGATCTTCAGAAAGGCAAACAGGGAACCTGCATGCCAACTCCAACACTGGCTGAGCACCCAGTGCAGCCTGCACACTCATAATCACGCCAGCTTTCTTCGACCTTGAAAAGGGAGAGACCCATATTGACTCACACCCCAAACTCTTGATGCCCATAGAACAGGGGGCTGCCATTAGTTGTGTGGTCTTGGACCTGTCACTTCTCCGTTGGGTCTCAGGGTCTTCATGTGTCACTAAAGGGGTATGCAGTTGGGAGACACTGCTGCTCACCTGCTGAGAGCCGCTGCTCTGGTGGTCAAGGTAGGGCTAATGTACCATGACCCCTGGTGATGTGTGGGCTCCTAGTCTCATGGCCTGCAGGAGCTGGGAGTCTTGCCCAAGGCTTTGGCTATCCAGCTCTCTTGTTAATGGACTCCAAGGACCCCTGGTACTGTGTGAGGACCACTGTGTTGGCTGCCCCTGGGAAACTGAGCCAGGACACATGAAGACCACTGTGGATGCACCAATCCTCCCTGCTCATACCCTAGATGAGGTTTGCTCAGAATTGCATCCTTTCCATGCCCCTGTCAGGTGGGCTGAAAGGGACTCTTGTTGAAGTCTGTTGAGAAAGCTACCAAAGAGCGCCAATTGAGTGTGATGCACCCCAGGCGGGGAGCATGTTGGGAGTTCCAGGGCCCAGCACCCACTGGGAGAAAGTCCCTCCTCCAGAAGGCAGGCTGGACTGACGCTGCCTTCTTTCAAGTCAGCCACCACTGTTTTCCCAAGAAAAAGCATCAACAGCCCTCATTTTTCTATTTCAGGTTCTAATGAGGACTTTTTCCTCCCAAGTGGGTGTAAAGCCATTTTGGGAAGGAAAAAAAAATCATAAACTCTTTCCAAGAAGCCCAAAGAGGTGGTTTGACAGTCACGGGTCATGTCAGCTTCAAACCACAAGTTGGTGAGAAGCAGCCCAGGCCCAAACTCGTGGGCGTGGAGTGCTTGGCCTGCCTTGATGCAGGCTTCATGCCTTCCTCCAGACCCCCACAGAGCACCCCTGTGAAAGCCCTAAGCTGCTGTGAAGGCAGCCCTTCTGTCCTGTGGCCTTTCCACTATAGTTTAGCAACTGCTCTCAGGTGCCATTTAAGACCTTGACAGGTTTCCCTGCAGGTGTCGCTAGTGAGTGCACAGAGGGAAGTGAGGGCCTGTGCAGGCAGGAATGACACTGCTAAGGCCTGTCTGGGAACCCTCCTACCAGCCCTGACTGCACTCCAGACCATCTCTTCCTTCTCTCCATAGCAGCTTCTGGACACGTGCCATGGGCCACGTGCCAGGGGCGAGAGTAAGAACAGAGGGCTGAGGAAGGGGGTTTTCATTCAGCAGCTTGGAAAGGACGCCTGCTCTGTAGGAGCTGCGGGTGGGGAGGAGGGGAAACCCACCTCTTCTGGCAGCAGGCAATGCTGTGGACATGATGTCTGCAACTCCAGCTTCCTCCCCACCAGTGCCCAGCTGTGCCTTCCCAGTTCATCTACTCCTAAGCCACGTGAAGCCTCCGATGTGCAGGCCTCTCTACCAATTCTGTCCCTCTCAGTTTAGTCTTCCCTGCTGGCCAAGACCACAGGCTCCTCCCTCTCTCCCTCCCTGCCCCCAGTCCACCAGGAGCCATCACTCTGCCCCTTGGCCCTGTCTGCCGTGCCCTTTCTTCCTCCTCCTCCATTTCAGCTGACACTGCCATCCTTGCCCCCTGTCTCTCCCACACTCTGCATGCTCTCCCAGACCTGGAGCTTGAGTCGCCACCCAAGTCTTCCTCGCTGCCCCAGATGGCAGCTCCACTTGAGACCCCACCGGCACCCCTTGTGCTCCTATCTGAAGGACACACATTGCCTTCCCCCACATGCTGTACCTTGCCCGTTGGACCCTGGCATCACTGCCTCAGCTGAACCCTATTTGAGGCAGGTCCTTTCCCCCTTTGCTCTCACTGACTTCACTTCAGAAGCCTGTGCAGGGAAATGCAGTGCTCAGGAGACAACCCTGCCCCTACATGCCAGCACCCTATTGTACCTGCTGCATAGCAGGTGGTAACCTTGAGCAGATTTCTTAGCCTGTCTCAGCTTTAATTTATCCGCTTTGTAAGGATGGTTGCAAGCGTTAGATGAGTCCACAAATGTTGAGCAGCTAGCCCAGAGCAAACATGGTTACACACATCTGCCTAGTACACACTGGGTGTTGTGCAGTGGGTGTGGCAGGAGCTCTAGTCCTCCCTGGGCTGCCCTTGGCTGTAGCCCCACCCGCTCTGCCTCCCTCTTATGGTTCCCAGGGATGAGCTTCCCACTATAAGCACTTGTTCATGTCACTCCATGTTTATTTTTTCATTTTAAAACTCAGAGAGAGAGAGAGAGAGATTCCATCCATTACTTTACTACCCAGATGGCTGCAATAGTCAGGCCTGGCCAGCCTGAAATAGGGAGCTTCATTGAAGTCTCCCCCATACATACAGGGACTCAAGCACCCCAGGCACTTGGGCCATCTGCTGCTGCTCTCCCAGGCACATTAGTAGGCAGCTGAATCAGAAGTAGAGCAGTCCAGACTTGAGCCAGTACCCATATGCAATGCTGGGGTAGCAGGCAGCAGCTTTACCCACTGTGCCCCAGTGCTAGCACAAATATCTCCTATTTAGGTCTTCCACAGATCTTTGCCCTCAGGGTAGAACTTGGTTGCTTTAGCTTGACACCTGATGCGGTCTGTGCCTACCCTCCTCCCACCTTGCCATGCTCCCCTTCCATCCAGGCACCTGCTTAGTGCTGCTTGTGTCGTGTCTTGTGTAGTGCTGCTCTCACTGCAAGATACTCCTTCAGCCAGTGAATTCCTGCTCAGCTTTGATTGTATATATGTATGTATGTATGAAAGATTCATTATGTTTTTTGAAAGGCACAACAGAGAGGTAAAGACAGAGATCTTACATTCACTGGTTCACCCCCAAGAGGAACACAACAGCCACAGACGAACCAGGCGTGGGCAAGAGACCCAAGCACCTGAGCCATGTTCTGCTGCTTTCTGGGATGTGTAAGCAAGGAGCTTGGTGGGAAGTAGAGTGGCTGTGGCTTGGACCAGGGCTCATATGGGAGGCCAGTGTCTCAGCTGGCTACTTTAACAGTGCAGGCCCCTCCTTACTCAGGTTTTAAGTCAGCTCAGTTATCGTCTTCTGAGAAAATGTATGCCCTGTTCCATCCTTCACTCCATGTTGTATATGTCCCTTACTCTATATTCCTGTGTCCATTTTTTTTAAAAAAAAAAAGATGTTTATTTATTTTAAAGACAGATATAGAGTGAGAGACTAAGATATGGAGAGGTGTTTCCATTCACCTGTTCACTCTCCAAATGGCTGCAACAACTCGAGCTAGGCTAGTCCAAAGCCAGGAGCCAGGAGCTTCTTTCAGGTTTCCCAAATGGGTACAGGGGCCCAAGCCTTGAGCCATTGCTTTCCCAGGCACATTAGCAGGGAGCTGGATTGGAAGTGGAGCAACCAGGACTTAACCCAGTGCCCAAATGGGATGCCAGCAGTGAAGGTGGCAGATTTAGCCAACAACGCAGTGCCAGCCCCTGTAACGTCTTGCATGTGTGTGTGTGGTGTGTGTGTGTGTGTGTGTGTGTGTGTGTGTGTGTGTGTGGTGTGTGATGACTTCTCACATTCTCCAGGTCTCTGCTACATTCATATGTGCGAGCCTCTTGAGGGCTTTGCATTGAATGTTCAGAAACCCAGGCTGTGCCTGGAGCACAGGAAGCACGGAGTAAACAAGGGAAAGCTGAGGAACCCCAGAGCCTGCCTCCTAGAGCCCTCCCCAGTGTAACGTAAGATGCCTCCAACCCCTGGCACTTCTCCCAGTGCTCTGGCACCATAAAATGTTTCTTGGACAGGGCTTAGTAATCAAATAAAATTATCTGTTTCCCTGGGGGAAAATCATGGAAAGATCCAAATGGAGAGACTTGAAGAAGTCTTAAATTTTAAATGTGTCCAGCAGGAATTGGAGAAGAGATGTGAATGGTGAAGACAAAGGGGGTGCTGGCTAGAATAGATGTTGGGAAAGCAGAAAGTGGGGATGCAGCACAAGTAGGAATAGCCGGGAGTCAGCAGGAAAATTCTCCTTGGGAGACAGCGAAGGAGGAAAAGATGGGTTAAAATCAGAGAGCTGTAGGTGGCTGTGGGTGCATAGAATTGGGAAGATTCACTAGTCATTTCACTATGGTAGCCATTTATTTTATTTTATTCAGTTGTTCTGAGTTATGAACAGTGAAAGATGCATCAGTGCAAATGTCTGCCAGCATCCTCTATAGAAAGCCAGAGAGTCAGCATTTGGAGCTTTTTCCATCACAACTGCTCCTTTCTGCATTTGTAGCAGGAAATTAGGGCCCATACGTAACCCAGCGGGTGAGGCTTGTTCCAATAAAACTTTATTGAAAAAACTGCACTGACCCAGATGTGGCCCTTGGCTTGCCACTCCCTGGGGCAGTGTTAATGCTGTGAGCAGTGGTTCTGAGGAGCAGGGCCCTGTGTGGGCTGAGCATCAGGCCTGAGGCTTAGCCTCTGCCCCCTTAAGAGTTACAGGATCATGGACAAGTCATCCAGGCCCTGGGAGGAGCTCAGTCGTCTTCACTCTGAAGCACCTGCTAAATAACTGGCCTGCTTTCTTAGTGAGGCCCAGCAGCAGGCTGTAGGATTCAGTATAACTTATTCCTACTCTTAATGTTACTCTAAATAAACAGAGATGCTCCAATGTTAGCTCAATGAGGCGGAGAAGTTTCACTTCTGTTTGTTTTATTCAGTGATGTATTCCAAATGCTCTGCGTGTTAGTTGAGTCAATGAATGATAAGGGCAAAATAAAATCTTCTCTTATTCATCCAAACAAGATCACCTTCCCAGAGTTCCTGGTGCTGTATCCAACCACCTGGGCTTTTTCTCCTCAAGAGGATATGAGAACCGTGATTTGTTTTTCTCATCTGTAAAACGGAGTGCATAGGACCCTCCCCTGCTGACCTGAAAAGGCTCTACTGCACAGATCATGAAAGGGAGCTGGTGTGGAAGTACAGACAATAGAGACCTGGACACTAACAAGCAGATGCCTCACCTGGGGTTGCATTTCTTTTTTTTTAAGTTTATTTGAAAGGCAGAATTACAGCGAAAGAGAAATATGTCTCATCTCTGGTTCACTCCCTGGCTGAGTCACACTGAAGCCAGGAGATTGAAACTCCATCCAGGTCTATGTGGGTGTCAGGGGCCCAAATGCTTGGGCCATCCTCCACTGCCTTCCCAGATGCATTAGGAGGAAACTACATTGCAAGTGAAGATGCTGGTGCTCCAACCAGTGCTCATCTGGGATGCTGATGTTGCAGATAGCAGCTTAACCGGATTTGCCACAACACTACCTTGGTTGGGCTCCCAGCAGTATCTATACTTCTGGCCCAGGCACCCCACCTGGAACCATCCTTTCCGTTTGAAAGCCAAAGCAATGGTCGGTACCCACAGTCCACAAAGTTCTAACCTCTGTGGTGGGGTGTGAAGAACAGCCCTGGCTTGCAGGGTAATTAACTTTTCTTCAATGAGGACAACCTAATCGTCATAGCTGCAAAGCCACAGTGCTGCTCAAGCAATGACTTTACTTCCATTTTATGGGCCTTCCCGTGCCGGGACATTGGCCAGAACTCTAGCAAAATGCCAATGAACATTTGGGGATTGGAGATCCTATGTACGCCTTAGGGCTGGAGAACCTCAGGCCTGTTCTTCATTTGTCAGTTTCCTTTTTGTGTTTCTTGATTTGCTTTGGGTGTGACTAATCCCACAGAGCTCTTGGGCCTGCGGCCTTTTCCTGGGTAATTTGTAAACTGATGTGTTTTCCAGGAGATGTTTAATCTGCAAATTATTGCTGTGCCTCAAAGGGCTTATTGTGTAAGGGCCACAGCTCTGCAGGCCAGTGAGAGCTCTGGATAAGACACAGTCCAAGAGGGTGGCAGAAGGAGGCCTCTCCTCCCTGCTCTGTTTCCAGCTCCACTGTGTGGCCCTTCCATGACATTCATGCTGAACAGCCCTGCATAGCAAACACATGGCTAAACAGCTTAATTCACACTGTGGCTTCATCAATGATGAGATGGTTTAGATGTCCCCTTGACATTCTTGGAAAAGGGACTTCACCCGTGCAGTTCAGAAGTGAACAACAGAGCATGAGATTTTAGCTGTCAGGGCCGGCCTGGTAGCACAGTGGATTAAGCTGCCTCCTGCCACACAACATCCCATATGGGCATCAGTTCAAGTCCCAACTGTTTCACTTCTGATCTAGTCCTGTGCTATTGTGCCTAGGAAATAGTGAAAGATGGCCCAAGTGCACAGCTCCCTGAGACTTATGTGGAAGATGAGGATGCAGGTCTAGGCCCCGGCCTTTGACCTGGCCTGGCCCGGCCTTGGCTATTGTGGCCATTTGGAGCCCAGTTTGTTACCTGGAACCCTATACATTTTGGTGCCAGGTTATAGACCCAACAATTGGCTAAGAACCATCATGGTTTGGCCAGAATTTACGAGCTTTTAGCATCAAAACCCCCATATCATGGGCAGGTCTTGTGCCATGGAGATGTGCCTGTCATGCTACCATCCCATACTGAGCATTGGTTCACATCCTGGCTACTTCCCTTCCTATCTAGCTCCCTGGTAATATGTTTGGGAGTGCAAAGGAGGAAGGCCCAAACACTGGGTCCCCTGTCACCTGCATGGAGTTCTAGGTTCCTGGTTTGGCCTGGCCTAGCATTAGCACTGGGGGCCATTTGGAAAGTGACCTGGGGTTGAAAGATCTTTGTCGCTCTCTATATTCCCAACAAGTCATGATATCTCTTCACTCTGTTTCTCCATGACCATTAAGAAGGCAAATCCATCACCACTGTAGGCTGCCCCTGCATGTGCCTGTGTATGTGTCTGATTATAATGTGAAATGTAGGGCTCCCCTGCTGTGTCTGTACCACTGTTCCAGGCTCACAGAATGGCACCCCGCACGATAAACATCACAGGATCAGAAACGATGTTGGTATGTTCATAGCAGGCCAGAGAGCAACAAGGGGTCCAGGAGCTGTGAATGACTGTGAGTTCTTGAAGGGGTGGAGAAGGCACAGGAAGCCATCAGACTGCTTGCAAAGCCAGGGGCAGCCTGGTCCAGAGGAGACACCGGGGTGCTCCCATTCCTTCTTACTCCTGTGCACCTGCTGAGAAACCCTATTGACCTGTCTCCACAGGCACTGGGAAGATCTGGATGGATGATGTGGCCTGCAAGGGCACGGAGGACTCCATCTTCCGCTGCAGCTTCTCCAAATGGGGGGTGACAAACTGTGGACACGCTGAAGATGCTGGGGTGACATGCAGCACACACTGAATGTGAGCATGGTCCATGGCTGGGACCCTGCCCAGGAGCCTCCTTCTAGCATTCCTAGAGTGAGGGCATCACTAGAGGCAACCCTGACCATGCCTCTGCCCTGCCCCCACACCCCTAATGCAGGACCATGGTGACTGTCATCTTTCTCCTCCTGGACTCCAAAGTCATCTCTGGGATCTACTGCTTTCTACCAGTGTTCTTCCACAGGGAGTTCCGGTCAGCTGGATCACCAGTTGTCCCAGCCACCTGAACACCAGCACTGGGTCTTAAAATCCAGGTTTGCTTCGGTCTGTTCAAGAAGAGTGCCCAGATGTCAAAAACAAAAAAACATACATATCAGTGGGGATAGGCGGTATTATGGACCATTTACTCTTCATATACTTCCCAAACCTGGAAATTTGATATCTTCCTCCCAGCAAGTGACAACACTGCATGATTCATGCTCCTCTCTTTCCTCTGCCTCCACACACCATTTGTTAGTTTGAGGAAGTGACATAGAGGAGAAGCCAGCTGCAAGAGCTAGAGGGAAATGCAAATCACACCTGCAGGAATCCAGCTGGGTTTGGAGAAAGGGTGTGAGATTAGCATTTATGACTACCCTGTGTGCTCAATAGTATCTTGGGTGCTAAGTCCATTATATCTCCTTTGCTGCATTGTGTAAGACAGCCCCATGGAAGCCCTAATCTCCAAGTAGCACATGAAAGGCCTGACTTACAAGCCAGAAGACTCAGACTGACTGAGATCAGGTTCCTACTGGAACTTCAGTGTGTCCGCTCTGCCTGCGCAAGAAGATTGAGACTGAAACAAGTGTGGCTAGAAAGTTGCCTACTCCCAAAATTAAAGCATGTGAGTCTGAGACAACATGATGGGCTTCCAGGTCAATGGTCTAGGTAGGAGGAGAGCTGGTTTGGAGGGTGCCACAGGGGCAGGCTGGGTTAAAAGCTGGGTCACTTGTGTCTCAGACTTGTTTGGCGATGATGCTGCACCTTCTGGGTCACTTCAGATGTGACCCTTGGTCAGGAAAACAAGTTCTGATGTGTCCTACAGACATAGGAGGAAGAGAGGATTACCCCTAACTCCTGGGCCCTGGAAGGGATTAGGGGCCTCTGTGAGTTGCTGATCCACATTGCTCTCTTAGGATAGGGAGATCCAGATTCTCTGTTCCATCTGTGTGTTTTAGTACTAGGGGAGTCACATGGCAGCAAGTAAGTACAGACTGACCTCCCCTTGAAGGCATCAGAAACTCAGATTTAGGCCCTGGACGCACAATCACAATGCACACTGGCCTCCCCAGGGCCCCTGGCTCACAACTAAGCCAATGTGTGATCTTGGTCATTGTTTGCTTACAGGATGCTTAGTATTCATTAATGCCAGATCAGAAATGTTTCTCCTTCTTACAATTGCTACATTTATGTAACACACATGTACTCATCTTTTTCCAGAGCTAATATATGTATGCATATATAAACTTAGCACCCTTTACTACTTAGCTTATCACAGTGCCAAGTTTGCACTAAAATAATTATACACTACAGGTGGCAAGATGCCACCTCAGATGAGATTAAATTGTGAACTCAATTCTGCCAAGACTCCAGTCATCCCACCTGTAGAGAAACACATCACCATCTCACTTGGTCTTTTCATTTGGGAAAACAAATGAAAAAGTCTTGTTTTACACCAAGTAAAACTATCAAAAAGTGTTTTAACTTAAAACAATCTATTAGTTTACATGCCTATTTAAGAGGACATGGAAATGACCATGGACCTGTGTTTCAGGGACTAAAGAAAATTAGGCCTGGCCTAAAATATATATACTCTTTTGTAAGGAAAAATTTCAATAAAGTAAAACACTTGTCACTCAGTAGCATTTCATCATGTTCTTTCTCCTGAAAAAAACACTGCATGTGGAGAGGGCAGGAGGCCTAGAAGGGTGTGATCATTTTTCAGCAGGGATCAGCAGTTGATTCAGTGGACAACTGAATACTTTTTGAAGACCATCAGCATGGTCCAGGACAAGAACATGAAGGAAGATGATCTCTTAATCTTTACTTGGTAACTAGAGGAAGCAAGTCCCAAGCAATACAAGGCCATCTCATCAGAGAATTGCATTTGTATCCCACAGGAAAGAGATCTCCCTGTTCCTGCCATCCCCAACATTCTCTCTTGGGGCTGCACTTCCCTTTGGAGTTTCATTCACACATAAGCACAATTGTTCCGAGTTTGGTGAGTGGCCCATGAAGCTACTCGGCCTGGTCATCCATCTAATATGACAGGAGTTCAAGGCATAGGGCCTGGGCAGTGTGGGAATACCCCCAGATCCCTCAGAGTCCAGGCCACCTGCTCAGATCAGCTCCTCCAGAAATCCTCATTGCCCCAAGATGGCCATGGGACAGTCATTGGCTAAAAGGCACTGAAAAGATGTCTTTCTGAAAATCCACAAAGGATGTACTTTTTTCCCCATCCTCTACAAGGTCCAGTGCTAGGTGTCCCCCTCCTCCTAGAATGGCTTTCATTCTGGAAATAAGCCCCACGGAGAAGTCCATCAGCCTCTTTCCCTGCCCTGGCTACTCTCTAGAAGTCACCATACTTTCTCTCATCTCAAGTGCCTGTGAGCACCTGTCTTGCTCCCTATGTGGATCAAAGTTCAATGCAAACACTGTACTAGACTCAACCACAGACACCCCTTAGATTTTTCAGTGTCATTATCTGATAATAATCAGTTATTGTAGTGTATCTTTAAGATGTCAAGTGTGGAGGCCTGTGCTGTGGCTCAGTGGGTTAAGCTGCAGCCTGCAGCGCTGGCATCCCATGTAGGCAGCAATTCAAGTATCAGCTATGCCCCTTCTGATGTGCCTGGGAAAGCAGCAGGAGATGGCCCAAGTCCTTGGGACCCTGCCGCCCACGTGGGAGACCAAGAAGCTGCTCCAAGCTCCTGGTTCCAACCTGGCCCAGCTCTTGTCATTGCAGCCATTTGGGGAATGAACCTCTTCCACTGTCTTCCCTTTTTTCTATATAGAACTCTGCCTTCCAAATAAATATTTTTAAAAAGATGTCACAAACATAGATCACTTTTTAAAATTAACTTATTTGAATGGCAGAATGACAAAGGCAAAAACTCCCAGAATTGGACCAAGCCAAAGGCAAAAGCCAGAAACTCCATCTGGGTCTCTCCCATGAGTAGCAAAAGGCCAAGTACTTGGACCACCCTCTGCTACCTTACCAGGCACATTAGCATGGAGCTGGATTGGAAGCAGAGCTGCCCAAGAGTCAAACTGGCACTCCAATACAAGCTGCTCCTGCCACAGATAGTAGTCCAACCTAGAACACCACAACACAGACCCCCTAAACACCGGTCTTCTTTCTTAGCATAGCTGTACTTTCATTCTGCTTCACCGAAGCCCATCCCTCCTCTTCTGGCTTTTTGGAACTGAAGCAAGACCCTGACCAAGTGGGCTCCCTCTGCCCGGTGGAATGGCTTACAGAACTTCCAACAAGGACTTCCAGTGCCTGGGTAGGTGTTCCTCTTGACGGAGGTTAATGAATTGTGTGCCATGGTCATGGCTCTTTGCTCAGATGTTGATCTTGCCAGCCAAAGACTCAAACCCCCATGCACCTTTCTGGGAACTTTTCTGGGTAGTTTCCTTCCCTTGGGTGCTATAACCTGCCAATCCTGGCCACATTGCCTTCTCCTATCTCCAGCCTTTGTTTCTTAATCTTAGAGAGCCCAACTTTGGGGGTCTCCCCCTGGTGTTGCAATCAGAAAAGCCAAGTCAAAACAGGGATCTACTTCACCATTTCCCCTTTCTCAGGGGTCTCGGCCTCGTGTTACATGCTGTCAAATCTCTGAAACAGTAGGTTTCCAATATTTCTGCACAACTCACAATTATGTAGTGATGATAGGGAGGGCTATTCTGATTCATACTCTCTGGCGGCTAGAAGCAGAAGTCCTCCCTGTGGTTATTTTCTGGTCAAAGAGAATCACAGGGAAACATCTTTATTGTTCAAACAAAATGCAACACAAAGATCTGGCCAAGACCGGCTCTGGCAGGAGAGTCTCCGGCGGGGAGGGGTGATTGAGCTTGCAGAGGCTTCCGCTAACATTCTCTCGTCATCCCTGCCATGGCTCCCTCCCCACCAGATTCCTTTCACAAATCAACTCCAAGACTCGTTCTTCTTAGCACTGGCAGAAATCACCTATGGAAGAGCAATAGGGAATAATTTCAGAAAAATCCAAACAGCTTTAACATAAAGAAGCATCCAAAATATTTCAGTAATTCCTGTTGCATTTCTCAAAGCGCTGGAAACAATATCCTGGCCCCTTGCTTGGCTTCCTTCTCAGCTCCTGTCTAGGTTTCCATCATGCGTACTTTCTTCCCACCCATCCGGTGTTCCCTGCTACACGTTAATACACGGCCCTGGCTCCGAGGAACAGATCCCACACTTCTGCAACTGATGGATCCAAAAACATTTTCATGGACACAATCTGTTTTCTTTCCCTGTGGGGGTCTATGCCCTACTCACAGGGGAATATTATGAACACAATTCTTGCCATTCATTTGCATATTCACCTAACTGTTGAGTTCCTGCCACGTGCAAAGCCCTGTACTAAGTACAGGACATCTGCTAGCAGACTCAGTGAATCAGTTTCTGTTTCTCAGGAGCTGACCTGGTAGCTCTCATCCTGTCCACAGACTTTTGATATCACATTAGCCATACTTGAACAATAATGCCCAACAGTAGGAAATCTACACGTGAAGAGGACAGATGTTGTTTCTTGAACTACTTAAGCAAAACAGAAATGTAACTCAGTGTTTAAAACAATTGGAATCACTGTCTTGACTACTAGTGAATTAGAAGTAGCAAAGGTGACCCGCTAACCCATTTGTGCACATAACAGTGGTAGGGCAGGCATCCCTAGAGCATCACCATGTGGAAGCTCTGAGGGTTTCACAGGCAACAATTCCTGAAATCTTATAATTGTGAGTTCCTTTTTCATCATTCCCATTCTACATGGAGTGTGAGGGGCAGAAAATCAAGCACTAGGAGAATCACATAGTAAATGGAGAAGTTAGGATCTGAATAGAAGAAATCATAAACATTACTTTGATGTAACTAATGTAACAGAAACATTAGTAGTAGTAGTAGTAGTAGAATTCTGAAACATCAGCGCTAAAGAAAATAGAAGCCAGGCCCAGCGCAAAAGTCCTCTCCTTGCACGCACCAGAATCCTATATGGATGCCATTTCTAATCCTGGCAGCCCCAGTTTCCATCCAGCTCCCTGTTTGTAGCTTGGAAAAGCAGTGCACCCGCGTGGGAGACCTGGAAGAGACTCCTGG